GACCAGCTTCCAGAAGTCGAAAAAATTAAAACAGGCTTCGCGCTTCTCACCTCTATCCATCCATCCCCGACGCGGCGATATCCTCGCCCTCCGTGATCCCTACTGTGCGCTCGTCGACCGATGTTTCGCAGAAGTGCCCATGTGGACAATGGCGAAGACGCTTTGGATGTTCGACTTGCAGATGGGCCTCGAGATACTCGCTCATCGTAATACAGACTTGTCGGATTCTAGTGATGATTCAGAGGACGGCGCGGGATGCGCTTTCAGGACCAGAGACGCACGAGCTCTGTCGACGTCAAGCAGAGCCAGCGACGATTCTGATGTGACCCTTGTTGAAAGCGAGATTGATGTAGATGAAGACATGGAGCCTGTCGAGGAACCGACTCTCAACGATATGGAAGACACGAGCGTATCCATGGAAAGTCCTCCAGATGCCTATTTATCTGCCGAGACATCCTCTAGCAAAGGCCGAGATACTAGCGACAACACTATTCTCAAACCACATCCACCCTCATCCCCGAAATCCTCTCCGAAATCCTCCAGAGTCTCGTTATCCTCACACACCAAGTCACGCTTCGCATCGCGGCCTCCGTATTTCAACCCGAGCTTCCCTTCCGTTGCTCGCTCCCTTGGGTACCATCATAAATCACGCAGCGTGGGCTGGGAAACGGACTCGTACCGGCGGTGGGACTTGTTGACCGACATCATCCGGCTGGATCGAGACTATTCTTCGCGGCAGTCGGCTTCCCCCAAAGCGAGTTGCTCGTCGTTGGGTGATACGTCTCGAAGGTTCTTCTTCGCCGTTGATGATGAAGGGGACGATGATAGACCATGGTATCATACGGGGACCGTTCTCTCCTGACCTACGCAGTTATCTAGCCACGCCATTTCCTATCTACATTCTTGACTATCACTTCCCCCACGGACTCTTCATTGTGCATATCATTTACCCCTCCATTACCATCTATCCTCGTTCACCTCACGATTGTATTAATAGTAATTATATTTCTCATTAATTTACCGTCACGTTCCCCACATGTTTCCCGTTCCCATTCACATTCCCCTTCTCTTACCTCCCCATCCCTCCCCTCCCTCATCTCCACATCCACCTCTGCGCCGTTACAGTAGACCTGAACCGCACGTACCATGTACTGTGCATTATTACCCATGTTCGCCTCATACCACATATATAGTCACCTGTTGTTACATTATTATTTTTGCATTATTAGTCGTACATATTTCTATCTATGGAGCTCACTGGCACGACCGCTTACACCTTCGAAGACCAACCGCCCTGGATGTTGATCTGGAAGACTAACCTCGTCAGGTCCCTATTGTCATCAAGATCTGCATAGCACGCCGCGATCGTAATCGATTGGAAGAGACCTTTCCCTCACTCCCCAGTGCCCGAAGCCCATGACCACCACGAGGGAGCGTACGCGCTATCGATTTGAAGTTGGTCGCACAGTAACCTTCCCAAGGCCGAGCAAGCATATGTTTCTAGGTGATCCATCCAACCCTACAAGATATGAATGTCCTTTATAAGCACGTTCTACACGTCCGAGTTCAAGTAGACCAACACCCTCAACCTCTCAGCCCCTCGAGAGATCATGGCGAACACTGTAAGTGCGCCAGCTGTAGGCATTCCCTATTTCACGCCAGCGCAATATTCCCCCGCTGGCTCTGCTGTCGTCCCTCAGCCTTCTGGCGCTGCCATTCCGACTCTCTTCCAACCGATAAAGATTCGCGGCGTCGAATTTCATAACAGGATTTTTGTACGTGGGCGGATTCAATTGCTTCTCGACGTCTATTTACTGTTGGTTATAGCTATCCCCACTCTGCCAGTACTCGGCAGACAATGGACGTCTCACGAACTGGCATAAAGCTCATCGTCAGTGATTTACAAAATTACTTTCCGTGATACTGATTCCGATTGATGTGTAGTCGGTGGGATATTTACTCGCGGGCCAGGGCTGTCTATCATCGAGGCTACCAGCGTGGTTCCAGAGGGACGTATCACACCGAGCGACTCTGGCCTCTGGTCGGACGACCAAATCGCGCCGTTGGCTGAAATCGTGGAGTTTGCCCACTCGCAGAACCAGAAGATCGGCATCCAGCTCGGCCACGCCGGACGCAAGGCTTCGACCAATTCGCCGTGGTTGGACGGCCATATCGCTAGCGCAGTCAACGGTGGATGGCCTGACCAGGTCGTCTCTGCCTCTGCTGTCGCGTACAGCAGTTCCTACCCCCAGCCGAACGCCATGACGAAAGAAGGCATCCAAGACCTCATCCGCGCCTTCGTCGACGCCGCCAAACGGGCTCTGAAAGCAGGGTTCGATGTCATCGACATCCACGGCGCGCACGGCTACCTCATCCACACATTCCTGAGCCCGGTATCTAACGACCGCACGGACGAATATGGCGGCAGCTTTGAGAATCGCACCCGATTGGCCCTCGAAATTGTGGACGCAGTGAGGGCGGTGATCCCCCCTAGCATGCCCCTATTCTTCAGGTGAGTTGGATCGACGGCACAGCGGCTTCCGCAACTTGAACTCGTCGTGTTCCAGGATATCTGCGACTGATTGGCTGGAGGAGTCGCTCCCTGATCAGCCGTCTTGGACGTCTGCCGATACCGTCAGGTTGGCACCCATCTTGGCCGAGCATGGTGTCGATCTCCTCGATGTTTCAAGCGGCGGTATGCATCCGAAGCAGAAAATCAGCTCAGAGGGGCCGATGGGAGCATACCAAGCCCCGTTCTCAGGCGATGTGAAGAAATCTCTTGCCGGCGATAGTTCCCTGCTCGTCAGTGCGGTAGGCACGATAAAAAGCGGACACACAGCGCAGCATCTTCTCGACGCTGGTTTCGCCGACGTCGTGTTCGTAGGCAGGCACTTCCAGAAGAATCCTGGAGCCGTGTGGGCTTTCGCCGAAGAACTGGGAGTAGATATCAATCTCGCACATCAAATATCTTGGCCAGTCAAAGGAAGGGGAGGTAGGGGGTCGCTCGTCGCCCAGAAGAAGTAAAGCACAGTGGGCAAATTGATGGTACTTAGGTCAGAGTGTGAGAGTACTCTTTGTCGCTAGCAAACGTTCCCGAACTATGACCCACTCAACCGTTTTCGGGCTGACGTATCCTCGAGCTGAGTTATCTTCGGGCTGGCTTATCGGCATTCCCATGCAAGTACATCCGGCCTCAAGACCACAAATGATGGGCTTGCTTTGGACTTGGTGATGTAAATTTGATAGATCCAGAAGTTGGATGACTGAGCCAGTGCAGCAAGTATGGCATCATATACCCCGTTGGATAAAAATGGAAACAACAACACTTGTGGCTTTATAAGCCCAGTCTCTAAGGTGAAACTCTAACCACTACCCTAGCTGTGCACTATGTCGAACACCGTGAACGCTCCTGCGGCGAACGTTTCATATTTCACGCCAGCGCAGTACCCCGTCGCCGGGTCTGCGGTCGACCCGCAGCCAAGCGGCGCCCCCATCCCTACACTCTTCAAACCTCTGAAGATTCGCGGAGTCGAATTCCAGAATCGAATTTTTGTGCGTCGTTTCTAGCGAACCATCCTTTCTAGTTTCGTAGTAAATGAGCTGGATCCATGTAGCTCTCGCCTCTGTGTCAGTACTCTGCAGAGAACGGTGTCATCACCGCTTGGCATCGCGCCCATCGTGAGCATGTCTTGCGTGTCTAATTGATGGAGATGATCTGACGTGTCTCGTTGTTAGTTGGTGGCATATTTACCCGTGGCCCCGGGTTAACTTTTGTGGAAGCCACCGCTGTTGTCCCAGAGGGACGCATTACCCCAGAAGACCTAGGGATTTGGTCTGATGACCACATCAAACCTTTCGCCGAACTCGTTGAGTTTGCCCACTCCCAGAATCAGAAGATCGCCATTCAGCTCGCCCACGCCGGCCGTAAAGGATCGACGGTAGCACCGTGGTTGGATAGCGACAGCACAGCCGACGAAGGACACGGCGGTTGGCCGAACAACGTTGTTGGACCCTCCGACATCCCGTTCAGCGACTCTTACCCGACGCCGAAGGCACTTACGAAGGAGGGCATCCGCAACGTCGTCGATGCATTTGCCAAAGCGGCGAAGCGAGCTGTCAGAGCTGGCTTCGACGTGATCGAGATCCACAACGCTCACGGCTATCTTCTCCACTCGTTCGTCAGCCCGGTGTCGAACAATCGCACCGATGAATATGGCGGCAGCTTTGAAAATCGCACCCGCCTTACCCTCGAGATCGTGGACGCCGTCAGGGCGGTGATCCCCCCGACAATGCCTCTTTTCTTGAGGTGAGCCGCTTTGATGTATCATCTCATCCTGGATTCGAATCTAAAGATCACATAACTAGGATTTCCGGGTCCGACTGGCTTGAGGAGTCCATGCCAGACCGTGCGTCGTGGACCTCTTCCGAAACGGTCAAGCTGGCGACAGTGCTTGCGACACGGGGCGTTGATCTCCTCGACGTATCCAGCGGCGGCCTGCACCCTGCACAGAAAATCAACATCAACCCATCGCAGCCATACCAGGCCCACTTCTCTGAAGCCGTGAAGAAGGGTTTGCCAGCGAACGGCTCACTGCTGGTCGGCGCCGTTGGATCCATCAAGGACGGTCGCACCGCTCAATCCGTTCTCGACACGGGCAAAGCCGATGTGGTTTTCGTTGGTAGACAATTCCAGAAGAATCCCGGCACCGTTTGGGCATTTGCTGAAGACCTTGGAGTTGACGTCAACCTAGCTCACCAAATATCTTGGGGATTCAAAGGTAGAGGCGGAAAGAGATCGCTCGTAACTAAAGAATCAAAGATGTAATACTAATTAACGAAAGGTTTGTAGCATGTAAGCAAATGTTTCGGGGTAGATCCTACATGTCAATGTACGAACATAGAAGTCGTTAGTAGTTACAGTCCTCCTCGAACTACGCCGCGGATTACAATCAAAACGTTGACAGCACGCCTCGGCCGCAAGCCAGGAGTTGAACGTCATGGGCGCTATAGCCAAGTGGTTACGGCGACAGATTAGAATCGGTACTCGAAATGCTCGAATCATCTGTTCCTCTTTGAGGGCGCAGGTTCAAATCCTGCTGGCGTCGCTCTGGTGTTTGTACGACCTATCTTTTGCCCTCGCTCTTCGCAAAGAATTTTGCTTAGTAGAACTTCTTTTTCTTCCCAGCGAGACAGCTGGAGGTAAGCGCCCAGAGCTAGGATCGGGCAAGGCGCTATAGCCAAGTGGTTACGGCGACAGATTAGAATCGATAAATACTCGAATCATCTGTTCCTCTTTGAGGGCGCAGGTTCAAATCCTGCTGGCGTCGATGTTGTTGTCTTGTTGTCTTTTTCCCGCTTGCAAAGTTCGAATTGGAGTTCAGAGAATAAGCAACTCGAGCGGAACGAACGAGCGCTCATATGTTTATCTCTACATGCCTGATAGTAGCTGATAGTTTGCTTCACGCAGCAGATGCGCGGTTACTTCATATATACCAACGTCACCAAGACTGTGATTTTGTTCGACCCCATATATATTTGTGGTGCGATGGGATATGATAGCTAAGTAGTGTTTATTGCCAACTAAGATATTTAGTGACAATAGTCTCAGGTACGCGTCAGTTACGAGGTGAGATTTTTCCCCTCGCATGGTCTGCATCTTGGTTGTAATGTCTTTGGTCTAGGTGAGAGCGGTGACGGACCGAGACATAAGTTATTGGCTCGCAGATTTGAACCACCTTTTGCTTCTAAGCCATTATGGTTGCTTGATCTGACCCACCGACGGTATTCACCCTCCAGGCGGGCTGATGGAAGGCGGCTTGTATAGGGGGTCGAGGGGGCGTTGCGAGTAGGAAGGATCTGATAGCATCGGTGATATCTACTGCTCTTGGGTTCTTAGGTGCCGAGGGAGAGCCCGCCTCCAAGTCGTCTTTCCGAGTCGTTCGTACTATCTCCACGACTGGTAGCGCTTCTGCTACGGGAGCCGCTTTTGTCGGTAATCGTTGTGGGTTTCGAAGAAACGGGTCCCGAAGGTTCATCATCAGGCGGGATATCGCGGTGCTAGACAAACTGATTGACGTTGCTGGTGTCAACATTCGCAAAGTCGGGTAGACGAAACGTACGTGTTGACGAATATGGGGAACAGAGGCTTCATGTAAGGCTGCAGCAAATAAAGTAAGTCGCGCCTGGCGCTCATGCTGCTGCGGCTTACGGGCGATGACTGTTGGATGTAAGCTCAGATTACCATGTTTAACTCGGTCCAGGAAGGAGCTTACCAGCAATACAAATATGTTGGCCACGTTCGAAATAGAGAGGAGCCTGCACATAGCGTCAACGTGAAGCGACGTCCGTACTGGTGAAATGGCCCCACCCGAAGTAGATACTACCTGAGAAGCATAGTAATGAGTATCGTTCTATACTATTATGAAGGCCCAACTACCCACCGTCTCGCAGCAGTGACACCCACAGGTTGGAATTTCCTGAGCGATCATTCCTGACCAGTGGCAACGTTTTTCGAATAGTCAAGAAAAAGACGGCGGCGTCGAATATAAGCAACAAGGCCCACTCGCTAGCAATCTCTAATGGGAAGAATGTAACTAGGTCGTATTATGGGAGTCGAGGTCTCACTAACCTACGCCTCTTTGAAACTTGTGAGCGTGATGCCAGCGTTCGAGGCAACGAAAACTTACTGTAGATGACCATATGGGATGTAACAACCTGGGTGGAAGGGACTATTCTTCACGATCGTTTGATTCACCGAGGGACCTTGTGGGCCTGCGAAGGTGGAAAGATACCATTGAACCTGTATACCAAGACGCGTTATTGGAAATTGTTGACAGGTAAGGGAATGCGCCGCACACCACCGTTAATCGACATGATGACGATCAAGGAGGACAGACCGTATTTTACGCGGCGATCACCATTGTAAAGGGCTGAAGTCCGGAGGATCAAGATACCTAAATGTTAGACGTGAGTGAGGGTTCAAGCTTTAGGGTTGATATTATTACTTACACCCAATGATGACATGTGTATAGGCAACATGAAGCTGAATAAACACTTCAAATTTCAAGCAGCTGAGAAGTCGTTGAGATCGGTCCGACGGCTGTGAGAAGAGTTCAGCCTACCTCTGGCGGGTGTGCGATGTCAGGAGGCGGAATGGAGCAAGTTGGAGGCAACGCACCTTCGTACTGACGAGGAAATCCGGAGAAAAGAAAAAATACGTGATTGCTATGTAGCCAGACATAACACCATAGCGGTTCAAGTAAAATAGCACTGCGGCGGTAGACCAACCAGGGCGTTCCCAGAACCGCTTGCTTTCGGTACCCAAGGTCAAGAGAAAATCATAAAATAGAATGGCTGACGCAGAGCCGGCGGAGATGAGGCGGGTGGGGCTGAGTATATGAAGGAGAGGTGCTCACTCAGCGATGCGACCTCCAGGTAGTTGACGCAGAACCTATGAACAAGTTTGTTTGAGATGGTGATGGCTTCCCGGTGAGTGACTAGCTTACTTACATTTGGGAAACGACATCGATCAGTGACCCAGGATACTCCCCTGCAGCCTCGCTTGGCGATCCGAAAGGATCACTCGACATTTTAAGGGCGAGAAATAGTTGGGTGGTTGGACGCAACGACGGAATGTGTCTTATATAGGTCAACACCATAATGCTACAATGATTGATGATCAAGTAGTCGCGTCTGTTGTTCTGTAGACACGGTCAATGATCTCCGATGGTGATACGTGATTCCACCTTGTTAAAGTCGTCCACACCAGTGCCAAAGAGGATAAAAGGATACGACTAGGTTTGAGACATCTACTTGTTGGTGAGAGCGATGACCTTGGACCCAAATGCTTTAGTTTCGTAGGCCAACATGCCGATTAACCAGTCTCTTTGGTGCATGGTATAGGTGGGAAGAAGGAAATGACTGACCGTGGATTATGATGATCCCAACAGCTCACAGTGGCTTCGATGGCTTCAGGATCAAAGACGTATTGATCGCTACCACATTGAGTCAGGATTCATGGATGACTCGGTTATAATTACCCAACGTCCAGACAGTTACATGCTCTTCCTTGCGGATTGAACTAGCAGCCACAACGGGATAGCTGTGGGTGCGTTGTGTTAGCTTCGTGGGCGTGGTGATGGTCGCAAGAATTGAAACTTACAGAGGCCAGTAAAGAATACGACCGAGCTGGATGATTGAACCCGGACTATTATTAGATATGTAACCTACCATTGCTGACGAAAATAGCTTACCGAGGCCACCCTTTCAAGAAAGAGTTGTGGCTAATGTATACATAGTTGTACAGTAGTCGCAACCCGATACTAAGCTCTGGACGTCAGACTCAAACGTTTACGGCGTGATATTGCCGAACTTACTAGGCTATTGAACAGATATTGAGGGTGCGATGATCCAGACCAACTAGATTGCCAGTTATCTAGGTTCAGATCAGTGGCGTGTAGTCGGGCAAGGCAATCTTGCGTACAATGGCGGCTGCCCAGAGGGGAAATGCTTCATTGCCGTTCTGACGCGATCAGGTTGTCCCCCATCTCTATGCTGGACGAGGTATATTTATATCGTACCTGATGGGCCCCCTCCATCCGATGTATCTTCTCGACAACACTTGGCTTGAATTTGTCGTTACCTTTAGTCTTCGCTAAGTTATCACGCGGATTTGTGCTATCAAAAACTCATTATTGTAGGGCTCGATGAGTGAGTCTGTGGCACCACGTACTTGTCATATCCCACAGTTTTGTCAATGATCAAAAACTAAATCCACAAGTTAGACATGCTGCCATCGGCGAAACTAATCCTTGCTCTGACTCTCAACGTGTTGGGATAGAAGGCGCAAAACCAGGCAGCGGGGATAGAGTATAGCGAAAATCCGGGGCTCGAAAGGTCGAAAGGCAACGACATGGTGGTACTATGTGGGTAGTGGTGAAGTGAAGTGAGACTGTTAAACGATATCGTGTGAATTATTCACATTATCCGGTCCAAGGTGCTTTATACCCCCGATACGTGTGAAGACAAGACGTCTAGGATTTGCATGCGAATCACATATGACAGGGCCGAACGGGGCCGGGCGTGTAGAGTTCGAGTTATTTCCTGGTAGTGCATTTGATATGGTAGGAAGTAAGAATGAATAGTCTCTGTTGACTCAGAGATTTGATTGATCTGTGTTCCAACGCAAATTATGCACAGAATAATAACGCTCGTCACACTGGGAAGGTACGAAGAGGAGGACGGGCGCGTCTGGGCGCGCGCGGTTGAAATTTCAATCTGATGAAATTAGGGGCTCGGTCACGCGGAAATCACGCTTTTGCTGGCGCCTGGCAGGGCCACAGGTGGAACTTAGGTTCGTTCTTCGTTTCGCGATGCCTCTCGTTCAGATAGAACTCTGCGATTTCAAGTCGTACAGGCAAGTTTATCTACCTTCATGGGTGTTATACTTGCTAGATAATAAGCAGAGGTCACCAAACAATCGGCCCTTTCAAGAACTTCACTTCCGTGATTGGACCCAATGGTGCAGGCAAATCAAATCTCATGGACGCGATATCGTTCGTTCTGGGAGTAAAGAGCGCTCAACTCCGGAGTAGTCAGCTGAAGGATCTCGTGTATCGTGGCAGGCGCCTTGGTCGGAATGGTGTAGAAGGTTCTGAAGCACAAGAGGAGGAGGAGGAGGAGGAAGGAGAGGGGGAAGGGACGGCCAAGAAGGCATGGGTCATGGCCGTGTATACAGATGCGGAAGAGAAGGAGTGGAAATTTCAGCGAACGTGAGTGCATCCTCTAAACCTCCGGCAACCCGTTCCTGTCAAGAAGTGGCGTTCGAAGGATGCTCATCCTAGAGGGCGGATACCCAGCTGACCCATATAAACGCGAATTACAGGATATCGACGACAGGCGCCTCTGAATACAAACTCAACAACAGAGTCGTCACATATACCGCTTACAACGCGGCGCTCGTCTCACATAACATTCTCGTGAAAGCGAAGAACTTCCTCGTCTTCCAGGGCGACGTTGAAGCGGTCGCATCGCAGTCGCCGCGGGAGCTCTCTAGACTCATTGAGCAAATCAGTGGATCGCTTGAGCTTGCGGCGGAATACGAGAA